GGATACCTTGAGGCGTAATCTTTTTTCTTTTTGCAGCTCTTCAGCACTCGACCTTGGGGGACGTCTACAGCGTTCCGCTCTTAGGAAGGTCTCTGTGCTGAGGCTGCTCTCGCGTGCGTGCGACTACTTACGTCGTCGTCGCCCGAACACAATCGATCAGGCTATGTGTGTGCGTGCCCCATTGCTCATTGCTTGTGCTTTGGAAGCCTCACGGATTGCCCATTATTCTTTTCGGTCAAACTTATTGATTCATATGACATCGGTATCAGATATTATCACCCTCATTTCCTAATGAATGACTCCGAACCCTCAAATGATCCTGAGTTGTCACTGGGAAGAACCATACTTGAGCCCCAAGACGCTACAGGGGGATTTGAACCCTGGTGCTGGGTGTTTTGTCTCGGGTCTTTTTTAGGTCTATTGGATTTTCCTGGATACGTATTGTTCCATCGTTGGGGTGAATCTCGTTAGCGATCTTATTGTTTTCATCCTGTGTATAAGGATGTCTATCAAGGAGAAATATAAAGGTATTGGATGCCTATTGGAGCTCTTCCACAACGCCCTCCACCCCTTGGAGTTAGCCACGAGGAACCATGCGAAGTTGGTTTGCGAAGTGGCAAAGTCACCAGAGCATCTAGGTAAGACTAACCGATCAACCTACATAGTGTTAATCCATGTTCGTTCCTCAGCTGGACAGGTTCGGGCGTTTGAGGAAGGTTTGACATCATTTGACTCGAGTGTCTGCATGCAGTGTTGTGCGATTATTGACAATGTATGTGCGGTCTTCTATGACATTGCCCACACTGGAGTGGGCTCGCCTGTTGGGGGAGGTAGCGATGGGAAGGCTGGTCGATTCAGGATGGCTATTTAGCAAGAGTGACACAAGGCTTAGAGTACTTAACTACATGTTGCAATTGGTAATGGCCGGTGAATTCAACTCTACATGGAGTAGATCGCGGTCAATCCTAGCGTTAATACTGATGTGAGTTGATGGCTTGGAAGATGGGCTAAGTGTGATATTTGCACGCAGGTACGAGGATACGTACTCTCATGCTCAAGAGTTGATAGTAAGGCAGCAGCCGACAGAAGACCGTTAACAGTAAGTGGAGGATGTGATGAAATCTTGCTCTCTTACAATTCCTCAACGCAGATATGTTAGGACCATCTAGGGCGCGAACAACATTGTGCGTTCGGACCTCGCGGGCGCATCTGCGCCACGGTTCGCCGGTGACGTGACGCCATACAGCATCCATTGTAGTTCCGGTTCGTGTAAATAGGGTTTAATCCATATCGTAAAAACTCCCGTGTCAGCACTGAATATTGAACGTGTACTATGAGACTTCTACCCATTGATTCAGTGTGCAAAGATATTATAGTATAGTATAATTAATCGTATTGTAGTTCAATTCTTATCCAGCCTACTTCTCCAATGTACAGAACCATCACTTCCCTGGCTCTCATTACTCTCGCCTCGGCGGCATCTGATCTGTGTATGCAGATGTGTACCGACCTCGGCAGTCAGACTGCATGTGCTGGATCCGGCAAGGGCTCTTACTGCAAGCACTGGCAACATGAGCCAGTCTGCCAAGGCTTCATTCGCAGGAAGGACAACAGCTTGTGCTTCCGCACTGGTGGTCCTGATGATGTTAAGTGTGTGGGTAGTCCCGTCCCCTGTCCCGAATCGCCCTCTACAAGAAGCCCCGGGTCATCCTCAACGACTGAACTGGCCGTGACTACACCGAGCATCACTACTACTATTACTAGCACCAGAACTACCACTACCCGACGTCCGACTTGGGAAGGTAAATTCTGTGGCACCGCTCTCGGACAATCACTACAAGTTTCGCTCGAGTCTGGGCGCCTTACTCTGAGTCTACCAGCACTTCATATTAAGGGCCTCTGTGATTACCACGTGAATGGCAATGGAGTTATCCTATCCAATTTTGATAAAGTCCTGGCAGGGTTGATGAAGACCGCTGGTATCAAAGAGTTCCATGTGACGATGGAGGGCCCCAATCAGATGCACCTCAAGGCAGGGGTGCTCCTCGATGTTACTCTAAAGAGGTGTTGAAGACTATATTCATTTCGGAGAGTTTTTGATGAAGAGATGTCTTCCTTTTTTCCGGTTCGAAACCACTTTTTCGTAGTGTGGCAATACTAAGGGCCACCGAAGC